GCCGACTGTGCGGGACAGGTGAGGCGACGCAGACGGACCCACGTGCGGGTGTGAAGGCCGGTGTGGACACGCCGCCTGCGGGAGGGCGACCGCGCGCGGGGCCAGGCGGCGGGGTGGAGGGCCGCGTCTCGGAACGTCCCGGACCTGGTGTGGCGCTGCGAAGTCCGTGTTGGGTTTGGGTGCTGACTGATGGAATCCGAGTTCGCCCAGCACGGAGCAGTCGAGCTCCTTGCAATCACCGCATTTTACAGGGAAGCGCAGGAGGCCCGGGGAGGAAAAGTGACTTCCGACTTGCCTGAGGCCTCCTCTCGCTCTGAGGCTGTGAGACTGGAAAACCCAGGGCCTTGTCCTCCCGTACTTTCCCGTAGCCACTCTCTTTAGGGCTTTCCCTCTCTTGATTTGCTTTGGAGTCAGGTTCTGGTGAAAGTATGTTCTTTCTCTCTCTCCCCCTCGTGTGTGTGTGTGTGTGTGTGTGTGTGTGTGTGTGTGTGTTGTGGGGGTCGGGGTAGACGGAGAACCGAGTTGCAGATCGGCAATAATGCAATAACTCAGTCGGGGCTTTCCCAGTTTGTGAAGTTTTTGACAGGTGTTTATTATTTCCTCTTCCCATAGATCTGACAGAAACATCCTTGGATCTTGGTGTCTGGACATAAGAGGTATGAGTCACTCACATGATTAACTACTTTTAATCATCAGTGTCTTATAGCTGTATTTAGTGGTTATATTAGTGTAAAATGAATGGGTAGGGTGTTGTAAACCTAGAAACAGAAATCTGTGTTCCTCTACAATTGAGTAGAACATACTTGAGTATGTAATGGCTATTTTAAATCTACGAGGCAGGAAGTTAGAATTAAAAAAAAAATCTAAAAACTGCAGGGACTTTAAGGATTACTGCAAAATGAACACTGTCTTCTAAAGGATTTGTGGCTGAAGTGGTGATTTGATTCTTTTGAAAGGCTAGTACTTAGTTAAAAAAAATGCTCTGTCTTCGTTTAGGACTGTTTCCTTGTTACTAAGGTACGGGCATTAATTTTGTTTCACCGGAATATATGTGACATTCTTTTCTCTAGAGGCTTGTTGCTTTGCTGAATAGGTTATATTATAGTTGCCAGAATAGTTGAGTGTGGGCATCCCATCCTGGTTTAGCAGCTTTTTTTTTTTTTTTTTTTTTTTTTTTTTTTTTATTTGTTTCGTGTGTGGGCGTTTGTGCGCCC